GGCCCCACTTTTAACAAGGAGCACTTTCAGAACCATTGGAGTGAAAAGCTCCATACAGATACAGTTATTATTAAGATCTACTGCAGATACATCCAGGTACAAACAGAATATGCAGTTTGTCACTGTGATACAATAGAGTCCATCTTATCATCCATTTTCTACACTCTAGATGCAACATCTGTCCATTGCAGGGTACACAATTTGACAATTTCCTTGTAGACAACCAATCTACCAGTATGTACCACTTGATTAGAGTCCATATTTATTATTGTGCTAGTATTATTGATTAAATTGCAGCTATGGCAATATGTATAATGTTGCTTACTTCACAAGGAGATCAACCTTAAGTCTAACAGAATTAGAGTTAAATATAAAGTTCTTGGTGGCTCGTGCTTGACCATTACATCATGTGGGCACCCCAAAAGGTCTTGAATATCCATTTTTAATTTAGTTGTCATTCAACTGCTGTCCTGTTTCATCTCTTATAATTAAATATTTAGGAAATTACATTTATCGATGTACAAATTCTTCAGAAGTCACCACATTATAGAAAAGTTTGGACTGAAATCTCTCCAGAGAAGAGCATCTAGAAAGATTCTGGGGAGTGTTTCTAGAGAATGTCCTACACTGACATGCTAAAGGAATTTGAATTATTTTGTTCTCGAACAGAGAAAACTACACTGGGACCCAATACAATTATTCTAAATTCTCAAAGGCACTGACAAAGTCAGCTCAGATTTCTTCAAAATGAACCGTGAAAGACAAATCTACCAACTCACCAACATGGACTGATTGGCCTCCCCTCGTTTGTAACTTGTTGTATGTTCTTATGTTCTTTTTTAGACTTCAGGTAAGCGGTCCTCCACAGGTTGGGGGATTGCTACGTAAGAACCCACAAAAAATCGGAATCTACCATTTTCACCTGTACTGTCCATTGCTAAGAAATTTGAGACTACTGGTATAGTGACAAGCTTGTCATGAAGAGGAAGCAACTACAGTATGTCTTGCCACCACAAGCTGTTATACAAATGGTTCATGAGGCAGCCATAAGGCAGCAGTCAGAGATCTCCAACGCAAGCTGCCATCTTCAGGATACAAAATGATGACAGCTAACTTCAATATTGGCTGCATAAGTGTAGGATTGGCTGAGTTCAAGGAATAAGCTTCTTTTAATGGCCAACCACAAAAAGAGGCAATTCGGGGTTATCAAACCACATCTGAATGACAATTGTAACCATATTTTATAGTTGCAAATATGTTATGTCTTTCTGGACATTATGGCTTGGTGTAAAAGAAGGTGAAGCAGGGAACACTCCTGCCTTCTGTGAAATATGGGAGTGTCTGTTTTGATATAGGGTTGCTTTGGTCCTGGGGCCCTTGCTGATATACAGTAAGAGGAATCGTGTACAGGAACACAGGACATTTAAGCCTTACAGCTGGAGAACCTCTGTCACGAAAAAAAAAACTTATGGAAGCTTGGAGTAAAATGTTGATGCTCTTACTGTATTGTAATTCCTGATTGTGTCTTGTGCAAAATGCTTGTGGAGTAGCATATATATAAAAGACCGCCTTTGCCGAGGTAAGAGGAGATCACATGGATTTCTGTAAAAAATGGCAGTTTGTGAATATTGCCATTCCTGGTCCAATAAGTTTGATACACACAATAATGAACATTCTGTTCTTCCTCTTCTGTGGATTTCACCCAAAAATGTTACCTGAAGAAAACAATTAAGCCAGCCATGCTTTCTCATTCTATTTAATCCAATTACAAGATGTCAATGTGCATGTTTGACCAAGTTATACAAAATTATATGCAGAAGAAAGGCACAATGATACATTAGAATCTGTTTTTTACATAATTAGAAAGGTCTTGAGGGCTGCATTGGGCATCATTCATAGCACAATCAAAGGAAATCTCTCAGCACTGTGACAGACCCATTTCTAAGGATTTGAGGCTCCACCAATCCATTGGCCAATTGGTTAATATAAATGGAGAAAGTTTAGGACCATAGGCACTCGTCCTTCCAAAATCTTTTCAAGAAACTATCAGAAACTGCTAGAACGAGAATTGTGTTCATGGATAGATGACAGGGAGAAAACTTCTGGTCTCCATAAAGAACATTGCTGCTTGTCGAAACTTTCCCAAAGTGCTCATCGACGATCCACCAGACTGCTAGAACAATGTTCTCAGAGCAGACGAGATAAAGGTAAAACTCTTTGGCAAACTCTTTGGAATGAGAAACATTCTGTTTGGCAAAAAAACAGGTACTGCTTTTGAGCAAAAGAATCTCGTCCCAGCCTTCAGGCATGGAGTGTGGGATGTTATTGAGCTGCTTTGCTGCCTCAGGACCTGTGTGGCTTAGCATTATTGACACAAGCATGAATTGTGCATTGTATCACAAGACTCTAGAGGAGAATGTCAGGCTGTCTGACTATGACCTGAAGCTGAAACTAAAGTGGATCTTGCAGCAAGACAATGGTCCTAAACACACAAGCAGATCTACAAAAGCATGGCTACAGAAGAAGTGTCATAGTTAAAGGCCTAAACCTCATCCAACATTTTTGGCAGGACATCAAGAGAAGTGTCCATGCAAGCCTTCAAATGTCACAGAATTGAAATGAGGAAGGATGGGCCAAAACCAATGTAAGAAACTGATCAACAATTAACAGGAAATGTTAAGTTGCAGTCAAGGGGGTTCCACCCGTTACTGAATTTAAAGGTTCACATACAAGGGCGGAGTGGTGGCACTGTGGCTAAGGATCTGCGCCTGTGGCTGGAAGGTTGCCAGTTCAAATTCTGCAGCTGGCAGAGCAATCCTACCCCATTGGGCCCCTGAGTAAGGCCCTTAACCCAAACTGCTCCAGGGGTGCCATATAATTGGCTGACCCTGTGCTCTGACCCCAAGCTTCTCTCTCCCCACCTGTGTGTCTCATGGAGAGCAAGCTGGGGTGTGTGAAAAAGACAAATTCCTAATGCAAGAAATTGCATATGGCTAATAAAGTGACCTTGTCTTATCTTTGTCATGGATAATAAATGCTGCAACATTTGAGCATAAATAAATATTGAAGGAGTTTTGTGTCATTTGTTTCATCAGGTTAACTTTATTTAGTATTAGCACTTCGGTTAAAATCATTACAGATTTCAAATATGTGAAAATCCTAGGAGGTTCACAAACTTTTTCTCAGCACTATAACTATTTAAAGGCAACAAGCTTTAAATAGACAAGGCAGGCAAAATGTTTTGCAGTAACTATTTTTGATACTTTCAGTTTTTTCAAAGAGATTTAAGTTTCTTTTGTGATTACATAGTAGGATTTACGCAAGACATTGTTCTAAACCTCAGGAGACGTTTTAAGAGCTTCTAAGCAGGCTTGCCAGCATTGTTAATATTTGGTTTGTTAATGTGGTCGGAATGGGTGTGTTTGACATCATTTCCTAGGTTATTATTCCAAACATCCTGTCCCCAAAAATAGATGTATAAGTTCAGTTCGTATAGAAAGAGCATTAGAAAAGGAAATGACACATTAAGTGAAAGTTCTATTAAAATGGTCTGTCTGAAGGTAAATGAACATTTTTTTGTAAAACTAAAATAGGTGCTGTAAAGCAAAGTCAATATCTATTACTCAATTAAATATTATTAAAAAAGAAAACACCTAGAAACTTGTTTAGAGACTACTATTTCCTGTGGATAGTTAATTTAGAGAATTTTTGCTACTTACAGATTTGTAATTCATGGATTGACATGCCAAACCCACTCTCTCGGTGCTATATGATGAGGTTTTGTTACTGCACTTTCCTGATGCCTTCATATTCAGTACATTGCCACATCACGGTGTTAACCCATTCCCCTAATAATAGCGCTTAAGAGAAAGGTGAATGATACTGCAGTCAGTAAAAACTAAAGGGGAGAAATGATGGCTTGAAGCAAAGTTGAATTATTAGGTCAGCTTGCAGTGGACTTAATGCTTAGTGGTCAGTAGGTCTGGTACATGCAATGTATAGCATTTAGAGTAAGTTGAAAGTGGTAGGCTAATGTGGGTTGCTTAAGTTGCTTGAGCAGACACTCATCAGCTTCCTTTCCTGTCCTGAACAGTCCCCTGATCTTATACTCACATCATTACCTTTCTCACAACTTCATCTGAATGCAATCTATTCGTAAAATGGGAAAGAATTGAGTATTCTGTTTACAAGTGACCCAGCACTTTATTTTGTGGAGGTATGGCCTAATATATCTCAGCCAACAGCCATGTCACCCTGCACAGAAACTCAGCAGGTGAGAGCCTGGTCAGTAGCTGGATGAGAGACCTCCTGGGAAAACCTAGGTTACTGCTGGAAGAGCTGTTAGTGGGGCCAGCAGGGTGTGACAATCCTGAAGTCTGTATGAGTCCTAAAGCCCCTTTATAGTGATATACTGTAAAAAAAGGCACCATCCTTTGGATGAGCCATAAAACCGAGGTCTTGACTCTCTGTGGTCATTAAAAATCCCAAGGTGTTTCTGGAAAAGAGAGGGTGACTCTGGTGTCCTGGTCAAATTTCCCAGCTTTTACCAGTTATGGACTCCTAATAATCCCCATTTATTAATTGGCTTAATCAATCTGTTCTCTCCACTGATAGCTAGTCTGTGTTAAGTGTACTAGTGCACTATGGCTGCTGTCGCATCATCCAGGTGGATGGTGCACATTGGTGGTGGAGGGGCCCAATTACCTGTAAAGCGCTTTGAGTGGAGTGCCCAGAAAAGTGCTATATAAGAGTAAGGAATTGTTATTATTACAAGAAATGCTGTTTTAATTTAATATAAAGTGTGTTAAATTAAAAGGTTTTGTCCTTTTATCATTTAAATATATGTGATTTATATATATTATATATGTACAGTATGTGTAATTAATGTGGAATTTTGTCACTTTTGTCCATTTGAAATAACTCAAACCACAGTTTCTGTAGTTGATGATAGAAATTGAATTCTTATTTCAACAGACTGAGCTGTAACTCTTGTTTTTTAGGGATGTGGAATTTATGTGAGACTACACAAGATGCTACTACTACAGGAACCCCAACAGCCCCAACCCCAAGCATTTCAACTAATATTAAAACTACAGCTACTCTAATACCAGTAACAACTGGTAATCAAATCACTAGTTCCCTTGACAGTTCAACCAGGATGACCAGTAAAACAACTGCTCCTTTTATTTCAACGCCGATTTCAGTGAGTGTCATGTCTGCAACATCAAAACAAATAAACAGCACTCCACCTTCAATTATCAACAATACTTCTAGTCCTGTTATTTCTACTACTGCTATTGCAAGAAGTAATACTACTACAACTGAAGGTCCTACGAGTAAGTATAGGCATTTTATAAATTCTTTTACATTTAAAAATATTAACTTTAATTATGCATACATCATTTGTAATTTCTTAAAATGGACATCATTAGAAGGAGATTAGAATGCTTTTGCAAAACATTGTGTATATTAACAAATCAATGAATGTTAGATGAAGCTCCATTACTCATTACTCTGTGTTTTCTTCTATATAATAATAATAATATGAGAAATTTAGGGTAATAAGAATATAAACTTAAATATTTTCTGAATATTCTCCATTTTTTAAAAAATTGGTCACTTGTTTTTAATCCAAGTGTCCATGGCTTCATGTGAGACAACCTCTCACCCCCATATATAAATAAACACTATTCTGTTGTATCAAATATACCATCAAATTCTAGAGGAACAAAATGGGATATAAAATAATTGTGTCTACCTGTATTGGGATGTTTAAGATCTTTTGTTAGCTGAGTTGTTAAAAAAATCTAAAACATTTCTTTTTCCTTCTGTGACATCAGGAAAAGCTACAGATCCACTGCCGTCTATAACTATAGAGACAGCTTCACCCTCTGCTAATTCACCAAGTCCAACTAATTTAACACCACTGTATAACGATACTGAAACAACAAAAGTAACCACAACTGCAGATGTGACTACAAAACCTTTATCAACACATTCAGATCAACCTACCACTGTAAATCAAACAAAAGCTAGTGTAGATCAGACTACAACCATCTTTACTACTGATTCAAAGCCAACCTTAAAAACTACCAGTACGATGACAACATCAAAAGTCTTCGTTCCTGGAGACAAATACGAGGTAAGATAATTGCTGCATACTAATATACTAAGAGATTATTTATCTTTGTAAGTTTGTACTCAATTACCAAGGCCCTGAGCAGTTAACCTGTAATAAATTAAGCAGAGTCTGTGAAGAATGTTGAACTCTCCAATGAAACCGATTTTTTCTGTCACACATGGAGTGAAAGAATGCTTAATTTTATTATACAATATTGAATTATAAGTAATATCTGAATTTAGTGATCTGTAGGTCCTAACACTATGTGTTTTGAATGGACTTTCAATCCATGTATTCAGAAACCCCTCGTTTATTCATTTACACATGCATTTGATATAAAATGGAGAACAGGAGACACTTCTTTAGCCATTTTGCTGTGAAAGTATGGAACAAAATACCCAACCATGCTGTTGAAACCAGTACCCTGGCTTACTTCAAGAAATAGCTGGAAGACATCCTGCAGTTAGCTAGCTATTAACTGCCATAGGAGATTAATAGGTTTGAAATCATCCTGATTTTAAGCTTTCTTGTGCTCTTACGTCCTTATATGTACTGCAAATGTTTGAACAAGGTGTATGCTTCAAGTCCCAGGAGTTCCTCAGGTCTGCGTTTATTCATGTCACTGATGTCGACCAGTCCAGATAATATTGCTACGTATCCATTCAAGTTTTGTTTTGATAAGTGTTTTGTATTTCTAATGCTTTTTGTTCTCTTGTCCCAACAGATTCACTATGAACCAAAAAATGCCACTTTGGTAAGAAATTGAGAGGAAGTTTTCATTTTGCAATTACTAGTGGAATCAACTAAGAGTTTCCATGTTTCATTTTGCCACTGAAGGCAAATGACTATCAAACATTGAATGGTGTTTTACATGCTGAGCTTCAAGGACTATGATTGAAAAGAGCATTTCGATGTTGCCAAGAATTGTTTCTTGTGGGTGGCACAGTGCCACAGTGGTTAGCATTACTGCTTCACCGTACTGGGACCCCGGGTTCAATTCCAGACCAGGGGTGCTCCCTGCATGGAGTTTGTTTCCCCTGTGTTCACGTGGGTTTCCTCCCAGGGTCCAAAGAGGTTAACTGGCTAGGAAA